GAGGCAGAGCGAGGGGATGGGGCAAGGCCCGCGTTGAGTCCGCACCGGGGGAAGAAAATGGCGGCACAAAGGCGGGGCAAGGAGCTCTTTATAAGGGCTTTCTGAACCTGCGCAGAACGGCTGGTCCCTCCCGGAAGGCGGTGCCTGGTGGGCGGGCTACTGAGGCGGCGTGCCCAGGAGCCACCACCCCCAGCGGCACATTCAAACCAAGCGTAACCGCCCCGGGACCACTCCCCCCCACCCCCGCAAGGAGAGCTGGGTAGCCCCAGCGTCACCCAAAGTGCCATCTGGTGGCCACATGGGACCTGGTGGCCACCCGGGACCTGGTGGCCACCCGGGAGCACCCACCAGCAGGCGCGGAGAAAGGGCACCTAGGAGGGAACTGAAGCTCCGCCAGCTCGACAGGCGGTTCCTTGCTGGTGGTTATGGAATCATGGAATTGTCAGAGTTGGAGGGGACCTTCTAGGGATCATCCAGTCCAACTCCCCTGCCAAAGCAGGGCTGCCCAGAGCACATCACTCAGGAGCAGGTCTTGAAGATCTCCAGAGAAGGGGACTCCACACCCTCCCTGGGCAGCCTCTGCCAGGGCTCTGCCACCCTCACCTGAAAGAAGTTCTTCCTCCATATTTGAGTGGAACTTCCCCTGTTCCAGTTTGTGCCCATTGCGCCTCGTCCTGTCACTGGGAACCTCTGAAAAGAGTCTGGCTCCCTCCTCCCTCAAACCACCCTTTAGATACTTATAAGCATTAATAAGGTCTCCCCTCAGCCTTTTCCAGACTAAAGAGTCCCAGCTCTCTCAGCCTTTCCTCACAAGGCAGATGCTCCAATCCCTCAATCATCTTTGTTGCCCTACGCTGGACTCTTTCCAGTAGTTCCCTGTCTCTCCTGAACTGGGGAGCCCAGAACTGAACACCAGCCCCTGGCAAAGAGCTTAGCCATGGTCTCCAACCGGAGGAAGGTCATGCTCTCAGCCTCAAGCAGAATGGATGTGGGAACTCAAGACAGAGCTCCCCATGGAAACATGGGGCTGTCCAGGTCACGAGGAGTGCCAGGACCTTTTACTGGTACCAACTTGCAGCTCTGAGACCTGCTGTGTGAAGTGTGAAGGGGTGAATGATGTGCTCAGCCTGGTGGCGGAGCTGAGAGAGGAGCTTGAAAGGTTGAGGAGCATTAGGGAGGGAAGCAGCCAGGGTCTAGGAGCCTCTGTACCCAGACCTGGTCAGAAGCCTAAATGAAAAGAGCAACTGGAGGCAGGTTTGTGGTCAGGGCAGCAGAAGGACTCCCCCCTTGCCCACCTTGCCCTGTCCGGTACCGCTGAAGAACAGATAGGAGGTTCTGGTTGAGGAAGGCCAGTCGAGTGAGGAAGTAGATGATGGGCACTCTACACCACAGATGTCTCCGCAGTGATGAGGTCCCCTCTCAGTCTTCTCTATAGACCTGGGTCTCTCAGCCTTTCCTCGTAAGAGAGGTGGCTCCAGTCCCTTCATCATCTTTGTAGCCTCTGCTGTCCCCTCTCCAGCAGTTCCCTGATCCTTTTTGAACTGGGGAGCCCAGAACTGGACCCAGTGCTCCAGATGGGGCCTCCCCAGGGCAGAGCAGAGGGGGAGGATGACCTCCCTCCACCTGCTGGTCACACTCTTTTTAATGCACCCCCAGACCAGAGGGGGCTTGGAGAAACCCCAAAACCCTTCCCCAACACCCCCTTTGGAGGATGCCTTTCAGTTCTGCCTGGCTTCTGTCCCACCCACCCATGAAGAAAGAACACACAGCCATCAGAGACGCTTGTAGCAGGATCCACCAGGGAGGTTCAGTTCCCTGGAAAGGGAAGGTCACTCTTATCTTCAAGAAGGGCAAGAAGGAGGACCTGGGGAACCACAGAGCGGTCAGGCCTGTAACTCCTCCCTGTGGGGCCTGGGGGCCATCCTGGCAGCCCCGGCAGCAGCCCCCCACTCCCAGCCTCCTCTTGTCTCCATGGCAACCGCAGATACAAATACCATGACAACCCCATGGCAACAGCACAGGCGATGCCACCAGTTCCCAGCCTGGAGGTGGGCGGATGCCCAGGCGTGCTGAAGCTCAAGATCTCTTCTTCTGAGCTTCATGGCCCTGGCAGGATCTCAGCTCTGCTGGGTTGAGGGAACCCATCACGGCTGGACCATGGCACCAGGAGATGGCTGGGTTGGGTGAGGGAGGACAGCCCAGGGGCTGACTTGGGATCAAAGAGCAGGGATATGTGCACAGATAATTTGTGGAGGACCCTATTGGCTTCTAGGATGGCCCAACTGGCCCCCCAACCGTCTGCTTGGCCCCCTTAGAGGTGTCATGGGTGGAAGAGCTCCAGGACCCAGCGGTCTCCTCACCAGTGACCATCAGAGAGCAGATACAGCCCCATATTGGGTGCTTTCCTTCTAATTCTAGGGGCCTGACCCCCCCATCTCCTTTCAGCCCTGAGGGCCTGACCCTACTGCTCCCAAGGGCTGAGGAGAGATGGGGGGGGGTGGGTGGTGGGGACCACCCACACTGGGGACCCCCTGATGCTCACACGGGTGGTGATGATCCTACCAGGGCACCCCGGACGCTGGCACTTGTCCCACCTCCTCCCGACAGCCCCCCAAAAAACCACCAGGTCATCACAAATCCTGCTCCAGGATCCCACCCACAGCTTGGCATCCCACTGGTGTGTCCCCATCGCTGTGTCCCTATCACTGTCCCCTTTGGGGGGGACACTGGCCCATGACGGACAGAGCCCAGCCCTTTCTCTTGGTTTCAGGGGGGGTTTGGGTCTTGAGAAGATTGGGAAAAGGGCCTTTTGCATCCCCTAAATGTAAAAAAAAAAAGGTTGTTTGTCAAAGTAATTATTAAAAATAACTGCTTTGCTGGAACTTGCTGTAGGTTGTGGGGCCTGGGGGGGAGCCCCCCACTTCTCGGGGTGCTGGGGCCGGGGGGCAGAGGGTATTTCTCCAGCTCAGGTTGCCTCAAGATGGCAGCAAGAACATGCAGCAATCCCTCTACCCGCTTGGAGGGAGTGGGGACCGCTCCATCCAACCCATCCTGGCTCCGAGGACACCCCCAGCCGCCTTCTCCCGGCATCATCTCCCCCCCTTCTCCTCCTCCTCCTCCTCCTCCTCCTCCTGGTGCGACACAACTTCTCCTGCTCCTTCTTGGTGCCCCTTCGTCGTCCCCCCATCTCCCTCCCTCCAAGAAAATCCCCCCCCCACATCTGCTGGTGGCTCTGGAGCTGCCACCCATGTCCTCCTCGGTCACCCCGACCCTCCGGCCCCGCTTCTGCTCCTTGGCAAAAGTAAGTTGGTGTTTTTCTCCCCTCCCGGCCGGGATGCTCGTTTCCCGAGCGATGGGAAGAGGCGCTATTAATAAATCCCCTCAGATTTTATTGCTTCTCTCTGTGCCAATGAAGAGGGTGGTTTGG